TTAATTTTAGTAAGAGAACTATTCATACACCTATCACTCATATAAGCAGCCAACTGGTCACAAACATTGAATGAAGGGTAATTTTACATACAATAATTCACCAAGCAAGAAAATAAAACCTGATAGGTTAATGGTGCTTTGTATGTATTTGTTGGCCAGTATAGCTAAACTAAGTTTTACTCATTGGAAGAAAAAAAACAGTTGAAAAAAATGTTAATAACGCTCCAAACAGTAAACAGTGCTGGCAAGAGCATCATCAGATTTCTGCTTTACACAGGAACACAAAGAGAAGAATACTGTGAGATTTATAATTCAGGAAGAAAGCTACTACTACAGGTTGTTCACACCATTGCCACAAAATGGACATTCTGAAGGGAGACTGTAAATTTTCCAGTGAAATCCTTCTGAGCAGAATACACCAGGTAATACATGCAACAGCCAGCCATGACTCCTTAAAAATGACTAAAAAAATCTCTCCAGTGTTGTATCATTTATTTTAGCCACTCACATTGTGGCTCCCCTCACCCTCTAAACACACAGTTTGCATAGTGGAGACATTCCACATATACAGTCAAACATCTGAAAGCAGAAAAGATCTTCTTCATGGTTTGGAGTTACGATTCTTCTATTTTCAACCCCGTACTACTTTCCAGATTTCCAGAATTGGTTAAGATTCAGACAATTTTTTTGAACCTAGATAAACAAAAGCACTTACTTTTCCAGACTAGAAAGTCCTGAGGGATTCAACACTTAAATTAGGCTAAATTTACTAGCATAAACTAAAATATGCCAGAGAGATTAGCTTGGATAGTGGATATGTATTTAACATAGAAGTACTGGAAACAGCTGCCACCAGAATGAAGTCACAGAATTTCATTTAACATTAAACCAAAGATGGCTGCTCTCCTATTGAAACATTCTAGTTATATTTCAAAAGGTGAGGAAGTTCACATTTCCAAGTTAAAATAACTTTGAACTCTGGCCTTTCGGACAATAAATCAAGCTAAATGCAGAATACATTGAAATAGTTAGGACAAATACTGCACCAGTCATTCAGCTCCTCATTCCCTAGAAAGCCTTAGGCTACAGTTCACAGACAGCTGTTACTTCACTGAATATCCTACAATTCCACACTAACTACAGAGCCAAGGCAGTACTACAGTGCCAGTGATCTCATCCTCACTGCCTCTGTTATTTGTGCATAAAAATTATATACCGTATTATTCTCCACCCATTAATCTCAAAATACTACTTATCATTCAGTTAGGAAATCCAGTTATACCCGACTGTCCTTACAATGCTGCTCATAAATCTCAGTAATTAATAATTCTCTAAAATCAATGGTGTCTAAACAAAAAGCTTGCAAAGATGAAAACGCTAACAATTATTACTCGCCTTCGAAAATTACCCTGCAGGGTATCAGAGGGGTTTTCAACAATCAATTTACAAAATTCATTGTAAATTAAACTTGCTAACTTTAAGGACGATGAAGAATTCTTATGCGATGCCAGGCCTCCTGACTGGAGGGAGGTGCATCAGCTGGTACACTGATATAATAATGTTACTATATACAGAACAAATACTAATTAATTTCATAATTTGATTATTCACCTTAGAACATGACTCTGTAGCCCAGGCAAGAATCAAAGTACTTGGACTGCTCTCTGACACACTATCTGCCCTGCCCGAGGGATAAATTTGAGGATAAAACAACGGCAACGAGGCAAAACCCAAAACTGACCGACTGATATATTCTACAACACTTTGCTTTAAAAATAAAATGTACCACAGCATGATGTTCCAAATTTTAGTTTTTATTTTTAAAGTCAGAAGCATAATGAAAAGTCTCAATAGCTGACATGCAGTTCATATATTCAAGACAAGCCTGCATAAAGCTGCCAACAGAACTAAAGCAACAACATTGAGGGGCACAAACCCTTTCCAAAGGGTTTCACAATCCACAAAGACTTCTCAGACCTTGCTATTCTGCTGCTGCCAGGTGCTCATCCCGTCCTGACCTCTTTACTGGGGCCTGTTAGAGAGCATGGGGGCTCCCCAGCTTTCCCCAAATGCTGCTGCTGGTTTTCTGTGCTGTTCTGTGAAGCCAAGAGCCAACAAGGAACTCGACACAGACTCAAGAGCTTGATCACCTGCACGGCAGCAAAACGACCGACACTCAGAGACCACAGAGATGAGTTAGTAATAGAAGAAAGGCCACCTGCTTAACAAAGACACCTCTATGGGAACACAAGGCCATGGAATACAGATCAGGAATGGCACTAGAACATCTATAAAGGTCGCCTGATGGTTTTATGAAGTGAGAGGTCAAAATATTAGCACGGGAAGTTGTATTTTCTGCCATGCAGAATTTCAGCATCACCTACTCCAAACCAGTTATTTAGCACATGACCTTCACCAGCTGCCACCTCTCCAACCTCCAGCAAGATGGAAGAAGAAACACACAGAAAAGCTGCATCCCAACCAAACTGCCACAGGATCGAGCACCACCGGTGCCCACCTCAGCTGATTTTGACCCACTGGTTTCCAAACCCAAAAGCTTCTAAAGCACCTCATGATCCCGAAGCGCCACACTAAGATATCATGAGGAATGCAAAACAGCCCCAAAAGAACTGTTTCTCTTTCTTGTTTGCACTATTAACTGGAAGGCAAATTAGTAACCTGCAGTTAAATGAATACAGAATACTGGCCCTATTGGAAGAAAAACACAAATGAAGTAGAGGAAGGTTGCTGCTAAGCAACCTGATGCTCCATGCTGAACAATTTCCTGGTCAGCACACGGTGCTGCTGTGACAATTCGCTGCCTTCATGGACATGCGAGCTCAGGGAGTTACCTGCAAACAGCAACAAGTTGAGAGGAAGAGCTGACAGCTATATAACAATTTAATTGTTTTTTTGGCAGCTCGCTTTCCTCACAGACCACTACAAGTAGCACAATGGTACTCTCAGTACCCTCTAGACTGTTTTAAAAGGCTTTGTTTTTACTGTAAAGGTCACGGCTCGCAAGCACCTTCTCAATATATATTTTAAACAATGCTAAGAACAGTTCATGCTTGAGTAATCCAATTTATTCAAAAGGCCAGCAACCTACATTTTATCTCTAGCATACTGTAACAACTGTTAAATTTTATTACCTTCTATTTGCGTAACGAAATTTCAGTTCTTTATTTTTTATACACCTGACAGCCGGGTAGCCTGAAATTCTTCTTCCTCCTCCAACTACCTGCCCAAAATGTGCTTCATCTGACTACAGGGAAATCAGCAAACATAAAGCGATGCCAGCCTGTAAATCATCCCACTCGATTACTCCATTAGTTAACGTTTTCTTTGTACATTCTCTGCTTAGTCTATAAGCTCTCCAGAATAGAGCTTCTCTCTTCAGACCGTATTCAGCTGCTTCCCACTTTCTTGACTCTATAAGCAACCATACAGTTGTTTGTAAAATGTCATTTTGCAGATGACTTTGAGGAAAAGCAATAAGCGCACTGTGAAGAAGGAGGGGGAAGACAACTCAAACCATTTAATTACTGATGCATAAAGCAGAAAAAATCAAAAGATCTCATTATAACTGAATTGCTTATGATGCAGCACAGCTATTGAAACACAGAAGCATATAATTAAGGAACCAAGTGCAGAGGATGCTGTCTGTATATGTGAAATCAGGAAATACTTCCAACAGCACAGATTTCCACGCATGCAAAGAAAACAGATACCAAGACAAGGCTTGCCTTGTATTTCTTTCTTCCTAGCTTAAAAGGCTGTTAAGTTATTCAGTTTCACCTTCAATATCTCGTTTAAAAAAAGAAAAACACGGGATTTTGAGGGGAGAAAGTCATTAAGACTTTCCCAGATCGTAGCACACGGAACAATATAATAATGGTTTCACATGAATGACAAGATTAAAAAAATAAATAAATAACCCCGTTGCACTGCAGCCTGAGCTCAGCGAGGTGTCCCCCGCCCGCGATAACCACGGTGCCACATGTACAGCTCCGCTCCAAAGGGTCAGAGGCTCCGACCGCCGCCTCGGCGGTGTCGCCCGTGGGGATTCGGGCTGCAGGAACGTCCACACGGCTCAGGCCGTACCTCTTCCCGAGGTAGCGCGAACAGAGGTTTTCTGAAAGGCGTTTCTGTCAATTTATAAGCCCCCCCACACACACACAAATATACTCGGGGATACTTCTGTCGTGAAAAAACACTGGAATTGAGGATTTCTTTTGCTTGACCAACACCTCTGCGTCGTTCTCGGTAACCCTCTCGGCAGGACGCTCCCACCGGCCGCCCACCGCGATCCCCGAGGACCTGGCACGTCCCGGCCGGGGAGCCAGCCGCCCCCGTGCCCCCGCACAGCCCAGGTGACGCTCCCACAGGGGGTGGCGGAAAGGCGTCTGTCACCGCTACCCGCTTTTTTTTTTTTTCTTTCTAA